ATTACATCTATGACCTGTACCATGTAAATTAGGGATGGGCAAGCTACAGCATCAGCATTTATAATTTTTGGATCTCATAGCTTAAGTTTCCACTGGATCCTATAAGTAATACAGCAAACCCCTTCCAAGTATGAGTCCTTACATAATATACATGAGCCTTTGTAGAATGTTGTTAAATCCGAGCAGTGAAGTCCCATAAAGTCCCACTTCCCTTGGATAAAATCATTGGGTGATTTTAGGATTTTATCAACCCCCCCCCCCCCCCGCCCCATATCTATCTTCTCTTTTATGATACATCAGGTTAGCTAAATTCTGGAAACGGCACTCATCAGAATGAAGTCTGTCATGGTGGAAAGCCTGTCAATGTTCATAAATTACACGTATGTGATATATCCTAAAAAGGATAATTTTCTCATGTCCTAGAGAAATTCTGAAATTCCATTTCTGTGGTGTATCCTAAAAAGGATAATTTCCTCACTCCCTAGAGTTATTTACTCCCCTTGAAAGGATGATTCCTTAGCTTTTGATTGTCATTTGAGGCTCAAGTTAGTCTTGTTACTTTTGACCAGATTTATCTGGTTCATTAGCTCTGACCATTCTTAGGAAGAGATAGCCTGGTCACAGAATTTGCCTCCAAGTTGGTTTACAGTGAAGGATTTCATATTGAGTTGACAATGAACATGGTCCAGGAGATTTAGATAATGTGAAGACTAACATTTTAATTGATATATGGAGATGAATGTTCAATCATTATTTCAAGGTATCAAGGCTTACAATGTTTAAACCAGTCCAATACCATACCAATACCAATAGCATTCCTTCCAAACCTTAGAGGTGCAAATGCTGAATTTTTTTAGAGAAATTTTAAAATATTTTTCTAAGACTATTCCTTTGCTATAACCCATTGTTTTTCCTCTAGTTTTCCTTGCTTTTGATTCCTTTTTTGGGGGGGAGGGATTGTTATTTCAATACTATGTTGTGATTTAAATAGTAGTGTTATACCAGTAATGTTTAATGAGAAGATGCAATTTTCTAATATAATAATTCTTTCCTTATCTCTAATCCCGAAGATCACGTATGGCTCTTCTCCACTATTGGATAACAAAAAGGAAGCTGTTTTCTTTCACCACATGTTCCCAAATGAGAACCATCAATACACTGTGATTCTCGACTTAATGTTGCATTTTCAGTGGGTGTGGATTGGAGTGATTTATGTGGATAATGAAATAGGACAAAGATTTGTACATGAAGTAATTCCCATGTTCGTGAAAAAAGGTATCTGCTTTGACTTCATAAAAGCCGCAACCCACATTAACTTTTTCAGTGAAATGGAAACAATGGCAAACAAGTTTATTGAAACATCATACCTCATTGGGAGAAGTACTGCCAATGTAGTGATCCTAAATGGAGAAGTTCAGTCA